TGCTGAATTTATTTCATGACTTCTTGTAATCCCCTATGATTTTTCTCTACTGTTACACATTAACCAATTACTGTCCCTGCTTTTAAGTAATGTTTTTATTTATGACTCAATGGGCCAGCATTATTATAATTATATTGTGTTTTGTACATTTCCTTCATTCCCCACCTCTTAACTAGTTTTTATTTGTGTTGATCACTAACTTTATTTTATTATTATTATTTTTTAGAGATGGGGTTTCACTGTGTCACTGAGGCTGGAGTGCAGTGGCGCTATCATAGTTCACTGCACCCTTTAACTCTTGGGCTCAAGTGATCCTGTCACCTCAGTCTCCTGAGAAACTGGGACTACAGGTACATGCCATAAGACCTGACTAAGTTTTTTTTTAATTGTACTTTAAGTTCTGGGGTACATGTGCAAATCTTGCAGGAGTGTTGCATAGGTACACACATGCCATGGTGGTTTCCTGTCTCCATTCCCCTGTCACCTACATCAGGCATTTCTCCCAGTGTTATCCCAGCTCTATCGTCCTGGATCAAGCTCGAACTAATGTGCTGGCTGTGAAACCCTCAAGCGATGGGACTTATGTTTTTTGGTCTTTGTAGCGGCAGGACCTGCCAAGCTGTATCACCTGTCTCCCTGCTTTCAGCTTTCCCTCTTTCTAGGGGGCAAGTAGATCTGTCCCACAGATGTTCTTGGTGCTAGTCAAAACTTCAACCAAGATCTGGGTGGACAGTTGTGGCACCGGGCCAGCTGGAGCTGATGCTGAGGTCTGTGTTTGTAACTCATAGTGATTTTCAGCCTGGCGTTGTTCTTCTGGACTGTGGGTTGCAAAGGCCATTGGAGAAGTGCAGTATCTGAATAGGAGTGCTGAGGGGGTAAAGTCCCCAACTCTCTGTCCAGTTGTACTTCCCAGGTGGGAAAGCACCCCGCCCTGCCTCAGTTTGCTCTTGGGCTACATCCACTGTTTAACCAGCCCAATTATTAACCTGGTACCTCGGTTGGAAATGTGGAGACCACTCATCTCTACCTCTCTCACTGGGAACTGTGCTCCAGAGCTGTTCCTATTTGGCCATCTTGACTAATTTTTTTTTTTTTTTTTTGAGACGGAGTTTCGCTCTTGTTTCCCAGGCTGGAGTGCAATGGCGCGATCTCGGCTCACCACAACCTCCACCTCCTGGATTCAGGCAATTCTCCTGCCTCAGCCTCCTGAATAGCTGGGATTACAGGCACACACCACCATGCCCAGCTAATTTTTTGTATTTTTGGTAGAGACAGGGTTTCACCAAGTTGACCAGGATGGTCTCGATCTCTTGACCTCGTGATCCACCCGCCTCGGCCTCCCAAAGTGCTGGAATTACAGGCTTGAGCCACCGTGCCTGGCCTGACTAATTTTTTTAAAAAAGATTTTTAAAGATGGGGTCTCACTATACTGTCCAGACTAGTCTAAAACTCCTGACCTGAAGTGATCCTCTTTCCTCATCCTTCTAAGTAGTTGGAATTATAGGTATGAGCCATCATGCCTGGCTTCACTAACTTTGACCAAAGTCATTAGGATGGCTGGATTTGTCATTTTAATTTTTTTCTGAAAATTTAAATCTTTTCATGTTTCTATGATAGTGAAGTAAAATCTTACCTTATCTCTTGAGTAGCTTATGTTTAAATATGTTTAAAGGCATAATGCATTGGCCTTGCTGAGTTTGCCTAGAGTTAAATATTCTTTTATATTTTTGTTATTCTATCAGTCTTAATTAATATTAATCTTTGTTTCCTTTGCTCCATTGTTCCTATTGACTTTTAGGAATGATTACATTGTATTATTTTGATCTATGTCTCACGAACAGAGATTATAAATATTTTGAAGATATAGACCATTCCTTTTCAACTTTATATATGTAATATGTGACTTATACTAGGTATTCAGTTATATTTTTATTGAAAAAAAAAAAAACAACTGTGGCCAGGTAGTTACTTAAGTCATAGACTCTACAGAGAGGCATGGAAAAGAATAGCTATTACAAATGAATATTATTTTACTTTTAAATATAAGAAACAAATAAGTATAAAACTCATAGCTCTGGTGGATCCTTGAAAAACAGCTAGTCTTGTGCTACTTTCAAGAAGGCCAAACTTAACAAATTTGATTTGAAATCATCCTATTATTAACTCTCAGATTCCATTTTATGGGATTATTTTACAGATTAGATTAATTTAGACTGAAGTTCTTATAGAATTATATTAAATATGCTTTTTTTTGTTTAGGTTCAAGACTAAACCACATTTTACTGAGTATTGTATCATAATGGACATATTAGCTAGTATTGCAGAGTTGTAGATTACTTTTAAGAATATAGAAATATATTCTATATTCTTCTTTGATAACTATTCTGATTGTTAAGAAGAAACATATTTTTAAAGGTTTATTAGAAAAGTGAGCCTTGGATGTAGGTACTGTGACAAAAATTGCTTTCTCTGTGTAATGATGTAGGGTGCCTGAAAGACTTCTTCATTGTATTTACAGTCACCTGTAGTCCTTCAGGGCTTAAAGAACTGAATAAGGGTTGAGATATTTATTAAAAATAAAGGTAAGTTTGCAGTTTCTACTTTCACCTAAGATATAAAAAGCTAGGAATAATGCCACTTCCACCCACCATAATAAGGAGAAAAACTCAGATAAACTCTAAAGTTGTAACTTTTCTTGAACATATTAGAGATGAGGTCACAAAATAACCTAAATTCCAAAGAGTGATAAGTCCATGGAATATGAACTATCTCAACTACTGGGGGAAGAAACAAGGGCCACACAAGCTGGTAAGAAGAAATCAGTAAAAATTTTAAACAGTTGTTCAAGGCCAAGTGTGGACTAGCATGCCAATCTGAAATAAATGAGTTCTGTGCTCTTCGTCTTTTTGTACTGCTAGAACAAAATACTATAAATTAGGTAGCTTATAAATAGTAGAAATTTATTTCTCACTGTTCTGGAGGCTGAGAAGTCCAAGATCAAGGTACCAATAGATCTGATGCCTGTTAAGAGCCTGTTCCTTTATAGATGGCATCCTCTTACTGCATCCTCACATGGTGAAAAGGGTGAATGAGCTCCCTTGGTCTGTTTTCATGAAGACACTAATCCTGTTTCTGAGGGCTCTGCCTCATGACCTAATCACCTTCCAAAGGCCCCACTTCCTAATACCATCATGTTGGGGGTTAGGACTGTAGTGTATAAATTTTGAAAAGGGACACAAACATTCAGACTTTAGCACACTCACTAGTAAGACCTTTTCTATTAGGCTTCACTGGGTGCTCCTGAGGGCAGGGCAGGAGACTGCAGAGACCACTTTTTCTTGGGTGGGGGGTGGGCACAGGCATGCAGGAGGTGAGATGTGGCTCCTAGGGAAAACCTCAAAGCCTCTCTCACCCCTTTTGGGGTCTCTTCTCTCCTGTGAACAAAACTACTAAGCCACTGAGGCAAGGGAGCAAACACATACACTTATGGGGAACAAAGAATTATGTGGCTGGAAGAAGAATAAAAGAAAAACGTTCTATGTTTGTGGAAGAACAGGAAAGCAAGCTGGATTCCATAGTGATACCCAGCTGGTCTGCTACCACAGAGAGAGCAGAAAATGCCTGCCCAGAACAAACCACAGATGCAAGCTCTTAGAGACCTACAAAGAGACAGAGACTCCCACACAATAATAGTGGGAGACTTCAACATTTTATTGACAATATCAGACAGATCATTGAGGCAGAAAATTAACAAAAATATTCAGGACCTGAATTCAACACTGAAACAAATTGATCTAATAGACTTCTATAGAACTCTGTACCCCAAAACAACAAAATATGCATTCTTCTCATCTCCATTTACCACATACTCTAAAGTTGATCACATAATTGGAAATAAAAACGTTCTCCACAACTGCAAAAAACTGAAATTATACCAAACACACTCTTGACCATAGTGCAATAAAAATAGAGTCAACACAATGAAAATTGCTCAAAACCATACAATTGCATGGAAATTAAATAAAATGCTCCTAATTGACTTCTGGATAAATAATAAATTTAAGACAGAAATCAAAAAGTTTCTTAAAAGTAATGAAAACAAAGATACAATATACCAGAATCTTTGGGACACAGCTAAGGCAATGGTTAAGAGGGAAATTCATAGCACTAAATGCCTATATAAAAAAGTTAGAAAGATCCCAAATTAACAACCTAACATCAAGAGAAACAAGAACAAAACAAACCCAAAGCTAGCAGAAGACAAGAAATAAGCAAAATCAAATCTGAACTGGAGGAAATTGAGACACAAAAAAATTATTCAAAACACCAATGAATCCAGTAATTGTTTTTTGAAAAAATTAATAGATATACCACTAGCTAGAATATTAAAGAAGGAAAGAGAGAAGATTCAAACAAATGCAATTAGAAATGATGAAGGGAATGTTACCACTGGCCCCATGGAAATAAAAACAAACATCAAAAACTGTAAACATCTCTGTGGACACAAACTAGAAAACCTGGAAGAGATGGATGAATTCCTGGATACATACACACTCCCAAGACTGAACCAAGAAGAAATTATTTTCTGAATAGACCAATAATGAGCTCCAAAATTCAATCAATGAAAAATACCCTGCCAACTAGTAAAAGCCAGGGACCTGATGGATTCATAGCAGAATTCTAAAAGATGTACAAAGAAGAGCTAGTATCATTTCGACAGAAACTATTCCAAAAAATTGTAAAGGAGGGACTCCTTCTCAACTCATCCTGTGAGACCAGCATTATCTTAATAACAAAAACTGGCAAAGGCAAAAGAAAAAAAGAAACCTTTAGGTCATTGTCCTTAATGAGCATCAATGGAAAAATTCTCAACAAAATACTGGCAAACTGTATCCAGCAGCACATCCAAAAGAACGTGATGAAGCCATCACAATTAAGTAGGCTTCATCCCGAAGACACAAAGTTGTTTCAACAAATGCAAATCAATAAAACTGATGCAGGCCAGGCGCGGTGGCTCAGGCCTGTAATCCCAGCACTTTGGGAGGCCGAGGCGGGTGGATCACGAGGTCAAGAGATTGAGGCTATCCCAGTCAACATAGCGAAACCCCGTCTCTACTAAAAATACAAAAAATTAGCTGGACATGGTGGCACGTGCCTGTAATCCCAGCTACTCAGGAGGCTGAGGCAGGAGAATTGCCTGAACCCGGAAGGCAGAGGTTGCGGTAAGCCGAGATCGCCCCATTGCACTCCAGCCTGGGTAACAAGAGCGAAACTCTGTCTCAAAAAAACAAAAAACAAAAAACAAAAAACAAAAAAAAACTGATGCATCATATAAACAGAACTAAAGACAAAAAAAAAAAAGCACATGATGATCTCAGACACAGAAAAGGCTTTTGATAAAATTCAGCATCCCTTTATGTAAAAAACTCTCAATAAACTAGGTATTGAAGGAGCATATCTCAAAATAATAAGAGCCATCTATGACAAACCCACAGCCAACATTATACTGAATGGGGAAAGCTGGAAGCATTCTCCATGAAAATCAGCACAAGACAAGGATGCCCTCTCTCACTGCTCCTATTCAGCATTGTATTGGAAGTAATAGCCAGAGCAATTGGACAGCAGAAAGAAAGGGCATTCAACAGGAGGAGAGGAAGTCAAACTATCTCTGCAGATGACATGGTCCTATATCTAGAAAATCTCATAGCCTTGGCCCAGAAGCTTCTTCAGCTGATAAACATCTTCAACAAAGTTTCACAATACAAAATCAATGTACAAAAATCCTTAGCATTCCTGTAAACCAACAGCCAAGCTGATAGCCAAATCAGAAAAGCAATCTCATTCACAATTGCTACAGAAAGAATAAGATACCTAGAAATACAGCTAACCAGGGAGGTGAAAGTTCTCTATAATGAGAATTACGAACCATTACTCAAAGAAATCAGAGATGACACAAACAAATGGAAAAACATTCCCGCTCATGGATAAAAGAATCAATATCATTAAAATGGCCATACTACTCAAGGCAATTTACACATTGAATGCTATTCCTATCAAACAACCAATGCCATTCTACATAGAACTAGAAAAAACTATTTTAAAATGCATATGGAACCAAAAAAGAGTCCAAAAAGTCAAGGCAATCCTAAGCAAAAAGAACAAAGCTGGAAACATTACATTACCTGACTTCAAAATATACTACAGGGCCATACTAACCAAAATAGTATGATTAGTAGTACAAAAACATGCACATAGATCAATGGAATGAAAAAGAGAGCCCAGAAATAAGGCTCTACACCTACAACCATCTGATCTTCAATGAAGCTGACAAAAACAAGCAATGGGGAAAAGACACCCTATTCAATAAATGATGCTAACTGGCTAGCCAAATGCAGAAAACTGAAGCTGGACCCCTTCCTTACACCATATACAAAAATCAACTCAAGATGGGTTAAAGACTTAAATGTAAAACCTTGAAATATAAAAACCCTGGAAGACAACCTAGGCAATACCATCCTGGACATAGGAAGAACAAAGGTTTCATGACAAAGACACCAAAAACAATCACAACAAAAGCAAAAATTGACAAGTGGGATATAACTAAACTAAAAAGCTGCTGCACAGCAGAAGCAACTAATAGCAGAGAAAACAGACAACATACAGAATGGGTTGTCTATGAAAACTATGCAAACTATGAATCTGACGAACGTCTTATATCTAGCATCTGTAAGAAACTTAAACAAATTTCAAGCAAAAAAGAAACAACCCATTCAAAAGTGGGCAAAGGACACAAACAGACACTTTTCAAAGGAAGGCATACATGTGGCCAACAAGCATATGAAAAAAAGCTCAATATCATTGATCATTAGGGAAAGTCAAATCAGAACCACCATGAGATACCATCTTACATCCACCAAAATAAGAAAATATAAACTATTAGAAATTAGAGGGGTACCTATTTGATTAATAAAATAAAAAATTATAGTATTGTTTTTATCTTTTTTAGTACTTTTACATCAATATTTAAAAATTTCTTCTTTAGAAACTAGAAAAAAGCAAATTAAAGTCAAAGCATGCAGAATGAAGTTTTTATATGAAAAAAAGGCAAAAGAAAGAAGAGATGAGTAAGAGACAAATTGATAAATTGATTTAAAATTTGAAAATTTAATACCAATCAAAATCCTAGCTGAATTTTTTTGCCAAAGGAGGCATGGTACTTGATAAGCTGACATTAAAATTTATATGGAAATGCGAAGGGCTGTGAATAGGCAGACACTCTTAAAGAGAAAAACAAAATGAGAATCCAATCTCTGTTGGTTATCAAGTATAAAATCTGTATTAGTGGAGCCAACATGGAATTGGTGCAAGAATTGCCAAATGGGCCAATGAAATAAAATTGAGAGCCTAAAATTCAACTCTTACATATATGAATCCTTGATTTATGACAAAGCTGGAACTGCATGATAATGGGAAAAGGGCAGATATAAAAGCTGCTAGGAAAGGTTACATATCCACCTCCAAAAAGAATAAATTAGGCCCCTACTTCATATTATATGTAAAACTAATTTTAGACCTACATATTTGAGGGAAAACAACAAAAGTTTTAGAAGTTAGCGTCTGAGATTTCTTTGTGATTTCTAGTTAAAGAAGCAGTACTGAAAAATACTTGAGTTCTGATAAGAAAGAGATTACTTTGGCCTAGGTAATGAGTTAGAAAGTTTTTTTTAAAATATGAAATTGAGTTGAGCCTCAAAGAATGAGTAGGATTTGAACAGATAGAAATTGTAGGGAAGGATATTTTAAGTACAAACAAAATGTAGACATTGGAAAACAATGATTACACTGGTTTGGCTGAAGCAGAAGATCTTCTGTGTTGAGAGAGCTGGTGTGGAAGATGGCCAAAGGTTAAGAGTTACTGGGCTTTGAATGCCAGATGAAGTTGGCATTTACCTCTGAGGATATAACATGATGCAAGTAATAACATGGTGGCAGTGTCAAGTATGAATTGAGGTGAGGAAGTAAGAAGGATGCAATTGGTGTATCCAACCCGGAAATGGTAGATACAAGAGACTTCCCTCAAAAGGAGAAGATGAATGTTACCAATACTGTGACTAGATCATTGAATGTGGAGGTGAATGAGGTGAGTCAAAGATAACTAAGATTTTAACTCAGAGTAACTGGAGGTTTGGTGGGAAATGTTTAGTAGCAAGAGGAACATAAGGGATAAGAAGTTGTGGAGAAAATAATAAATACATTTGGAGCATGCCACACTTAAAGAATGAGCAAGATAGTCCAGGTAGAAATGTTCGAATGGCCATTGGAGATGGATATTTGGAGCTTAGGAGATTGATCAGGAGAGGAGATGTTTGTGTACATAAATGAATGTAATGATGTTGAAAGCTGAATAGATGAGGTTTCAGGATAAGAGATTAAAGAGAAGAGAAGCCTGGACTTTGAACACTGGGGAACATCCACATTTAGGAAAAAAAGAAAAGGCAGAAAAGGAATCTGGGACAAGGTCATTAGAAACATGTGGAAAACCAGCAGAGACTGACTCTCAGGACAAGATATTGTTAACAGTTTTGAGTTGCCACAAATTGGTAAAGAATGAAGGCAAGGCAATTGGCTTTTGTGTTTGCGGTCAGAAGATGATGGATAATGTCGAGAACACAGTTACAGAGGAGTGGGAGAGGAGACCAAACCTTCAGGGACCCAAGAGAGTGTATGGGAGTTCATTCCCAAACATTCTGAGAACAAGAGAAAAGAATGAAATAGATTATAGATAGAGGAAACAAAATGTCATTATTAGGCAACTAGTTTAAATTTATCTTCAAAGATGGAAGGAGCCTTAGCAATTATTCAATTCAGAGACAATTATCTGACTGCCTGGAGACAAATGTTATCTTCAGGCTGCATTACACCAGCAGATGTTTTTTGCTTGGCCAATAGAGTGCTTAACAAATTGAATTAGTTGTGAACATTTAGAAATGGGAAGATGTTACATAAAAATCTTCAATTCCTAGCTTCTCTTGAAAAAATTGGAAATTTGGCACTTCTGGACCCATAATGGCCACATACCATTTAATTAGCTGGAGATGAATAGCATGTGATTCTTTGGAAGGGCATGTATTCTTCACTCAGCTGCAATCCTTACATTGCTGGGTCTCCCCATTAGTCTACTTGCTGGATCCCTGTAGGTATTTGAGTTGGTAGTCCTTAATTAAGTCCAACTCTCTCATTCCGTAGAGTAGGAGACTGAAGTCCAAAATGAGGGCGTGACTTGCTTCCAAAGTCACATATCTGGTCAGTGGAAGAATTCATTTCAGAACCCAAAGCTCCTGATTCTTATTTCAGTAGTTCTCCTCCCCTATCAACTCACTAAGTGTTTCTCTACCTAGTCTCTTGAGGACTGGTCCATGGGATTCCATTCTATTCCTGGATTCTAGCATTGCCATATGGCACCTACATGATTTGCCTGGCTCTGGCCCAACCAGGTTCTCAGTGCTTTCCATGTGGTCCAGATGGTGACCAAAGCTATTACTTGGACAAGAAGGAAACTCTACTCTGTGGTCACCAACTCCAAGCTCACTCTTTTTAGAACTTGGCTTATAACAAAGCTCATAAATTCTCCATAAGGTTTCTTTTATGGAGATTTTTTAGGCATAAGTGGGATATGTTGAACAATGACTATCATGCATTGCTTCCTAAAGTAGAAAATTAAATTCAGTTCGCTGAAATTAGTACCAGATCACACTCTCCAAGTGCCTCCACCCAAGATCTATAGTTGATCTATCAACTGAATTTGAATATCGTGTTTAGATTTATGTACTTTCTGTCTCAAGAAGAAAATTGTTAGATAATGGTCTTTATTATTTTTCTTCTAGATATAAATTCATTAATCTTGGAAAAGTATTTCTTTACAATTTAGGAGAGGTGGTAATACTGTTTAAAAAACCAAACAACATTGTTAGGTGGAATGTAGTCCCTAACTCACTCAAAAAGGATTTTCAGAAAGCCTAGGGTAACAGTTACATTAATTCCTAACTCATTCCCCACACCCATCCTTTGTCCCTGCACCACTCAAAATGCATAGGATTGGCTGAAAGACAGAGGGTCTGAAGGATGTTTGAATTTGGACTTCAGGTAGACAATGTCATTCTGCTTAATGTTAAAGATATAATAGCCCTGTGAAAATTCAGAAATACTGCTATTTCAGTGAAGCAGGACTCCTGAGATAATTTAGTGTTCCAAACTAGCCAAATCTTTCCTGAGCTTATCTTT